GCTTAGTTTTTCGGATCTTTGTTGTGGAGGGACGGCGTGGTGCTTCTGTCTAGACCGCCATCTTGCCGGAGTCCCCTACCTAATCTTTTGAGTTACTGATGTCAGTTTGATCCCATATAGATAGATCTTAAAAGAGCACAGTGTTCAAAGCGGACATTCTTTACTAGTTAAGCTAAACTACTGTTTGGTTTTAAATTTCAGGGATAGTTTTGGTTTAAGATTTAAAGGTTATCTCAGGGCAACGGTTTTGGGGGTTCATCTAACCTCCATGGTTCCAGAGAGTATGGAGTCCATGAGAATTGAAATTCTGTTCTGCACTCCGCTCCCTACACCCCCACCCCTTAATCAGGATTCTTCTATAGAATCTTTGATCAAAATGTTCAGCGATGGTACCCGGGTTATCATACTCTTTCAACACTGCATTTGCAATTATTCCACGATAATGATGAAATATTACCTGGCACCTAAGATCATTAGAAATAGATTAAAATCAGGACAGCTTAAAAAAAACTAAATTTTTATGTTTATGTGTATGTGAAGTGAGAAAAAGTAACACAGCTTTTACATGAATTGCAAGGATTATCTTGTTTTCACCAACAGGTACATTTTCTGCTAGCTAGTATGATGAGGAAATGGGATGTTCTAGTTAATAAATTCTGATACATGATCTTTTTCCCACATCCATTGCTTTATTTTCTTTTGTTAAAGAAATGCTAATTTTATTATGAAATGTTTCCACCACATTGAAAAATAGAGAAATATAACAGAAACCAATATACACATCACCTGAATAAGGCGATGTGAACAGTTTACCACATTTCCTTCAGTTCACATTTAAAATAACAGCATTACTGAAATATTCACCTACCACACAATGCACCCATTTTAAATGTATCATCAATGGTTTTAGTATATATTCACAGAGTTGTGTAACCATCACCACAATCAATTTTAGAGCATTTTCATCACTGATTCAGGATTTTTTAAAAGGATTAACATTAAAACCAAACAAGCATAATTTATCTTTGTTGGATTATTCAAAACGATCTTGTGGCATCTCACAATCACAGTTAAAAATATCAAGTATCAGTAAACTCTAAATGTTCAGTAGGGTTATTTATCAGTAATTTCCAGGTGGCTAGAAGTTAACTGACAGTTTATATTCTACTTTTCTTATTTCAAATTCTGTATATGTAATTTGTGGTTCATGTTTGCATTTTATACATGATGTGTAAATGACAAATGAAACGTATTTCTTACCTCTGGTGTCCCACAAAATGTTGTTGTGGTATCAGAAATTGCAATTCCTTCTTTACAAAGCCCAAAGTCAGTTAAGACAACATGTCCCTGACGAACACAGGGGCAGAAAGATAAAACAATGCATAGATATAAATCAACAATATTTTTTTATTTTGAAATAATTGTAAACTCACAAGAAATTGCAAAAATAGTACATATAGTCTTGTGTACGCCTCACCCAGTTTTCCCCAGTGATGACGTATCAAACTGGGAAACTGGCACTGGTAAGACACTGTTTCCTACACTTCTAACCTCATTTGGTTTTCACTATGTTTTACGTGCACGCATTTATGTGTGTGTAAGTTCTAAGTAATTTTATCCCAACTATCGATTCTTGTAACCACCACCACGAAGGAGCTCCGGCATGCCAGCCCTTTATCCTTGCACTCCTCATCCTCCTTGGTCCCTGTGCCCTGGTGGCCACTAGTCTGTTCTCCAGCTCTACAGTTCTGTCATTTCAAGAAGTTATATAAATGGAATTGCGCAGTATGTAAGCTTTCGAGACTGACTTTTTCCACTAAGCATAACAACAACAAAAATTGAGAATGAGTAGATTTTTAAAAGATAATACTTACTACTGAATCCAAAAGAATATTTTCTGGTTTCAAGTCTCTATAAAGTGAAAGGGAAGAAAAGTAAAACTGAATATTAGCTGACATAAAATACTAAAAAGAATTTTATGAGTAATATTTTGAGCTTTACCTGTACACTATTTTGATGGAGTGCAAATAACCTAATGCGCTGGCAATTTCAGCAGCGTAAAACCTAGCCCTGTGTTCAGGAAAGGACCGTTCTCTTTGTAAGTGAAAAAACAGCTGTAAGATGGAAGAAAATGAATGTTAAGATTCATAAAATGAAACAAATACATCCTGTAAATATGGAAACAAGAACTGTTACTACTTTGAACGTGAGATAAAAATGCCCCAAAGCACAGATCTGACTCTCCCGTGTCTCTGTACCTCCCACCTGGCAATCCTCTCTTCAGTCAAGCATCTTTGTCTGTCTCTTGCTAGCTTCACCGTCTCCCACTTCCTTCTCAAGCCTCAGTTTGAGGGTAACCTCCCCACTCCAGGCAGCAGCTCCAGCAAAGATGATCAGTGATGACCAACCATCTTGATCCGCCATGTAATTACCTCACTGGGCATTTTCAGACTGTTCTTTCATTAAAAACGAACCATTCAGAGTTGAAAACTTGTGGGTGGCGCACCAAATTTAACCTACATAATTTATGGTACCTGAGCCAAATGCAGTTTTTATAAAAATCTGAATTAGTTGGTAACATGTAAAAACTGGGGACTAAAAAAATATATATTACTCATCATTTTTTTCTGCAGGAAAAAGAGAACAAAATAAAAGGAAGTTCTGTAGCATTAGGCCTAAATTCCAATGCGGTAGCAACTGGCTGGAGCTGATTTCTTTTTAAAATAAATCCTGGCTGTGTTTAAGGCAGAACTTCTCTAAGTCTTCAATATGCTGAAACATTATGAATTACCAAGAAAGGGATCACACGGAGATTTTCTAAACTCATTTCACCCAGAATCCTTAATAAGAGGAACACCTCATTTGACTCGTATTAATAGTTCACTCATTTCAGAAAAGGAAAGGCTGGAGTAATATTTATGTACAACTGCTGAAACAAAATTATCTGAATTATAAATCATGCTTTATTCTAATGTTGCAGTGTACCATTCTTGATTTATAGCTTAGTGACCAAACTACGCGTGAAGTCTGTAGCTTCCTACCCAAGTTCTTTCATAAACCTTCTCAACTGTACCATAACCTGCTTAAGAAAAGAGCCCGGGTTACACTTCTCTGCATCTTGCATGTGCTTAGCCAGTACCTTGAATGCTCAAAAAATATCTGTTGATGATGGACGGTCCATCTAGAACTTATAAGAAGAAATTCAGCTTTATGTTAAATTTCCTAAAGATTATCAATATTAGAAAACTAATTATAAAACTCACCTCCCCTCCATTAATAAAATCCAGGACGAAGTAAAGCTTTTCAGTTGTCTGGAAAGAATAATGTAATCCAACTAAAAATGGATGTTTCACATTTTTCAAGAGCACATTCCGTTCAGCCATAATATGTTTTTGCTAGAAAAAAAGGTAAAGGATCAACTTGTATTATACATTAGAAAACAATTCTGTTAATTCAGAAAACGGGCTTAGGAAAAACAATAGCTATCTTATTTTACCTCTTTTCTGTTGAGAACAACTTTTTTCTGTAACACTTTGACAGCATAAAATTTTCCATCCAGTTTTCGTTTTGCAAGAAGAACCTGTTAAAGATGGTGCATACTATTAGACATCTCAATATTTTGGATAGAAATAATTCACTTGTGAATATATTAACACTTTTAAAATTTTATAAAAAGAAAGTTCACCTTTTTGCTTTGAAAACTGAAAAGCAACTACTAAATTTATTTCTATAATTTCACTTTTCCCTAGCTATTTTAATAAAACAAAAGAGTGCTGATCATTTGAATAGCCAGGCACCATTTCTTTGTCACTTAATGTATTGGTATTTGAGATTTTACTAAACTGAAGTGACAATATCTACACTGCTTAAGAACTTTGTGTGGGTAGATGTGGGTGTGTTTTGGGGGGTATATGTGTTTGTGTGTGTGTGAGAGAAAGAGATACAGTGAGAAAGACAGCGTTCTGAGTCCTGAGTTCCTTAGAAACTACTGAAGCTATAAACTTCATGGCTTTATAAAAAAAAGAAGCAGCAGTGATTTTTAGGTGATCAAAATGCACCTTTTTAATATTTAGATTTCTCTGACTTCTCTTACAGGTTTCGAATTCAGAAGAGTTCAGGGACAGAAGCAGGTTTCTATAATGGGCTGGGTTGCATGTAGACACTTTTAAGAAAATGAAGAAAGCCAGAAGACATTGCAAATATAAGAAACAACCTCACTAAAGTTGGAGGGGGAAAAGGTGCTCACCTATATACATCTGGAAATGAGCGAAGTCTATAAGACTAAAGGCAAAAGAACTGTACGTAAGCACATATTCTGGTTGATAAAGTTGTTTCCCACATGGGTATGGATTTACAATTGTGGTACTGCCAAAAAACTGGCATAGCAATGCTTACGGAAATACCTCGTGGGGGTAGGAAACGGCAAACAAACATAGAAGGCACGTGTTATTTGCATAAAAGTACGGTAAATGGATGGCGAATAGTGGGAGCCAGGTTTCTCACTGTTGGAGCAGAAGTTCACAGGTAAGCAAGGGAAGGAGGCTAGCATGATCCATGTGGTAAGAATTCATGTTTAGTTTATTACAGATACGGATGATTACACAAGGAAATATTTACAGATATATGCATATACTTGGGTTGGAGTAGACACATATATTTATTCTGTCAGCTGAGAGGGCCTAGAATAAATGACAACCCAGTAGCAACAAGCACACTTAACACCCAGATGTTTGTTTCCAATACTATTCTACAATAAAAGGAACCAGGGCTTCTTAGAGAAATGGCTGATTCTAGAATCGAGGCAGGAAATACACAAGATGAGCCGGAGCGCCTTGTAGTGCCAGAAAGGAAGGAAGTGGTTCAAAAACAAAAAACTCACAACGATGAGGGTATGTCAAAATGACACGGTAGTCAAGTGAAAGAGTACCCAATGGCCAAAGATAGAACAAAATGAGCAACAAAATAAGCAGCACTGAATTATAACCCAAACTATAAAATATGAGTTTACACTGAAATAAATAAATAATTGAATAAATAAATGGGGGAGAAGAGACAAGTCTCCCATGCAGAAGAATTCCAAATAAATTATGTAGATACTCAGCCCTCAATAAGGAGACTTTAACTACCCACTCATTAAGTGTGGGCTGGCATAGTACCTTCCTTCCAATAAGTACAGTACGGAAAGGAGGGGAACAAAGCGTAACTTTGCAGTGGAGAAACTTAACACTAGTCAGTCAGGTAGTCAAGGTCAACATCAACAATCATAAATCATGGAGACAGTATGTACCCTTGATAAGATGTAATGAAAATGGCACCTTACACCTAGGTTTTCTTCCTCCCTCAAACCCATAAACTAATCATGAGAAAAACATCAGGTAAATTTCATAGAGGGGCAACCTCCAGTATGCCCGGCCAGTACTCCTCAAATCTGTCAAGGTCGTCAAAAACAAGGAAAGTCTACAAAAGAGTCAATAAAATGACAACTAGCATTAAAAAACAAACAAAAACAAGGAAAGCCTGATAAACTGTCACAGCCTAGGGAGGCAAGACAACTAAATGTAATGTGGTATTCTGGATGGGATCCTTGAATAGAAAAAGGGAATTAGGTAAACACTAAAGAAATCTGAATAAACTATGGACTTTAGTCAATAATGTATCAATATTGGTTCAATAACTGGAATAAATATGCCATTCTAATGTAAGATATTAATGATGGGGGAACATTGTGGGGAGTGGGGAGAGTTGGGAATTTTCTGTACTATCTGCTCAATTTTTCTGTACATCCAGAACTGCTCTGTACTAAATCTGAACTGTCCTAAAAAAAAAGTTTATCAAGAAAAAAAGTTTGTAATTCATAAAAATGGAGTTAAAAAATCTTCAAGGTGAAAACAGCCTGTTCTTAACTGATGGAATTTTTCTCATTTCCCACTCTTTTCTTCTCTACAGCTTTTAACTTTGTTGAACATTCCTTCCTTCTTAAATTTTTCTTTTTCTTGGCAGCCACGTGACTTTTCCTTCTCTAATATTTTAACTGGTTCATCTTCAATTACAATTCTGAGAAAATAACTCACACAATGTGGCGATTAAGAGGTATTGTTTCCCGTCAGGTAGCCACTTTTTTTTATGAAGCTTTGTAGATTTGGAGAACAGATAGGAAGGTTAAGAATCAAATGGATAAATGAAAGGTGGAAGCAGGAACACAGGCCACCTGCTGGAGAAGGATTTAGAATAAATGTAGTCATGTTTAGTTTATCACATACATTTTTGTGTTTTCCAAACAGATCATGAATTTGCACTTCAATGTTTGTCTTTCTGTATTTTGTAGTATTCTGTTTTCCTTTATATTTGTTTTATTGCACTTTAATGGTGTCTAACCATTTTGAAAGATTTTTAGAAGTAATTTTATTTTTGTTGTTGAGAATACACACAACAGAACATACCCCAATTCAAGAGTTTCTCTGTATACAATTCAGTAATGCTGATTACATTCTTTGAGTTGTGCAACCATCTTCATCCCTTTTCGGAGATATTCCTCCTCCATTAACATAAACTCACTGCCCCCTAAGTTTCCTATCTAATCTTTTGAGTTGCAGTTGTCAGTTTGATCCCATATAGATAGATCTTAAAAGAGCATAATGCTGAAGACAGACACTTTTTACTAGTTACACTATTGTTTGGTTTTAAGGAGACTTAAGAGGCTATTTCTGGTTTGAGGTTTAAAGATTGTATCAGGGCATTAGTTTCAAGGATTCATCCATCCTCCATGGCTCCAGAAAGTCTGGAGTCCATAAGAATTTGAAATTCTGTTCTGCATTTTACCCCTTTTGATCAGGATTCTTCTATAGAATCTTTGAACAAAATGTTCACTAATGGTAGCTGGGCACCATCCAGTTCTGGTCTCGTGGAAAAGGGGGCAGTTGTTCATGGAGGCAATTAGCCACACATTCCATCCCTCCTCTTATTGCTGACTCTCCTTCTTGCTCTGTTGTTCGAGGCAAATAGAGACCAATTACTGTATCTTGGATGGCCGCTTACAAGATTTTAAGATCCCAGGCACTACGCAATGAAGTAGGAGATAAAACAGAAGCACTAAATACCATAATAGGCCAATTAACTGGAATGTCCCATGAAACCATGACCTTAAACTTCCAAATCAAGAAACCAAATCCCATAAGGTATTTGGTTGTACATAAGCGGCCTCAGCAGCTGCTCTATTTTTTGTTTTTTGTCATTGTTGTAAATATATCTATCACACAACTCCTGCCAATTCAACTTTTTACAGGTGTACAACTTATTGACATTAATCGGCCGTGTAACCCTACCCTTAATCAATGCGACTTTACCATCACTGTAAACCAAAACTCAGTACTCCATAAGCAATAACCCCCTCTTTCCCACTCCCTCCTGTCCCTGGTAACCACTAATAAACTTTCGTCTCTATATATTTGCCTGTTCTTGTCTTTTTGTATAAATAAGGTCAGACAATATTTCTCCTTTTGTGTTTATTTCCCTCAGCATAATATCTTCAAGCTCCATCCATACTGCAGCATGTATCAAGACTTCATTTCTCTTATTGACTGACTAGTATTCCATTGTATGTATATACCACATTTTGTTTATTTATGTGCTGATGAGCATTCAGGCTGTTTCAACCTTTTAGCTGTTGTGAATAGTGCTACAATATTGTGAACATTGGTGTACAATTCTCTGAGTCTCTGATTTCAAGTCTTGTGGGTACAGACCTAGGAGTGGAATTGCTGGGTCGTATGGTAGTTCTATTTTTAGTTTTTTGAGGAACCGTCACACTATCTTTCACAATGGCTGTACCATTCTGCATTCCTACCAGCAAGTATAAGGGTTCCAATTTCCCCACATCCTCACCAACATTTGTTACTTTTCTGTTTTTTTTTTTTTATCTTAGCCATCCTAGTGGGAGTAAAATGGTACCTCATTACAGTCTGGATTTGCATCTCTCTGATAGCTAATGACGCTGAACATCTTCATGTGTTTGGTGGCCACTGGAATGTCCTCTTTGGTAAAATGTCTATTCAAGTCCTTTACCCATTTTATGATTTGGATATTTGTCTTTTTACTGCTAAGTTGTCAAAATTATATATATATTTATATATATTTATTATTATTACTTTGGTTATTAGAGTCTTATTGGATATATGGTTTCCGAAGATAATTCTCCCAGTTGGTAGTTTGTCTTTTCATTTTTCTGGTAAGGTCTTTCGATGAACAAAACTTTAAAATTTTTATGAGGTCTCATTTATTCATTTTGTCTTTTGGTGTTTGTGCTTTTGTTACTATATTAAATAATCTGTTATTTAAAGCTAGGCCCAACAGCACCGCACTTGCATTTTCTTCTAAGAATTTTATGGTTTTAGTTTGCACTAAAGTCTTTAATCCATTTTGAATTTGTTTTTGTGTATCGTGTGAAGCATAAATCCTGTTTCACTTTTCTGCATGTGGAAATCCAATTTTCCCAACACCATTCATCAAATGGACTTAGCACCCTAGTCAAAAATCAGCCAACCGTAAATGTGTAGGTTTATTTCTGGACTCTCAATTCTATTCCATTTTTCTGTGTCTATTGTTATACCAGTACTAGGCTGTTTTGATTACCGTAGCTGTACAGTATGTTTTAAAATCAGGAAGTGTGTCCCCCTGCTTTGTTCTTCTCTTTCAACATTGCTTTAGCTATTTGGGGCCTCTTGCCATTCCATATAAAGTTGAGGACTGGTTTTTCCACTTCTGTAAAGAAGGCTGTTGGAATTTTGTTCAGGACTGCACTGAATCTATAGATGGCTTTGGGTAGTACTGACATCTTAACAATATTAAGTTTCCCAATCCATTAACATGGAACATCTATTAATTTATTTAAGGCTTCTTTAATCTCAGCAGTGTATTATAATTTTTATTGTATAAGCCTTTCACATCCCGGTTAAATTTATTCCTAGGTATTTTATACTCTTAGGTGCTACTGTAAATGGAATCGTTTCCAATATATATTTGAATGAATAAACACACATTGGTTTATGACTATAGTTTCTAGTCTCTAGGGACATTAGAAAACAAACTACCCGTTGCCATGGAGTTGATTCTGACTCATAATGACCCTATACAGAAAACAAACTAGATATAGTGAAATCTATGTACTATGGATATAGCAAAATATAATTAAGCACATACATATTCATTTTTATTACAGGCTGAAGTATAATGCAAAACAACACTTAAATATATTTGATGATTCTGATAACCCCATCTGTGAAGCTTTTCCTGATAACTCTGGCCTTAAGTGATTCTTGCTCCTTGTCAAATTATGTAATTCATTTGACACTCACTGTATGAAAATTAACAGGGTCTTTAAACACTCCTTTCCTTCCAGCTGTGTAAATCAGCCTCAGCTGAAATAGCATCTCTTCAAAGAAGTCATACTTGACCAACCTATCTAAGTAAGGACTTCTCCCACTATTATCCTCTGTCTTCATTTCCTTCGCAGCCCCATTACTACCTGTAATTATTTAACTGTATATATGCGTGTGTGTGTATTTTAGAGAAAATAAAACACAACAAAATATATGCCAATTCAACAATTTTCTACATGCATAATTTAGTGACGTTGATTACATTCTTCAAATTGTGTAATGACTTGAGGAAATTATTTCACCACCATTAACATAAACTCAATGCCCCCTAAGCAGAAAGTACCCCTTCCACCCTCTCTCCCACCCCTGGTAACCACTAATAATTTTTGGTTGCTATATATTTGAGCCCCAGTGGCACAGTGGTTAAAACAATCTACTGCTAACCTAAAGGTTGGCGGTTTGAAACCATCAGGCGCTCCACGGGAGATAGATTTGGCAGTCTGCTTCCGTAGAGATTTACAGCTTTGGAAACTATGGGATCGCTATGAGTCGGAAAGGACTCGACAGCAGTGGGTTTTATATATTTGCTTATTTCATATAAGTGAGATCATACAATATTTGTCCTTTTGAGACTGACTTATTTTGCTCAGCATAATGATTTCAAGGTCCAGTCACGTGGCATGCATCAGGACTTCATTTCTCTTTTCACTGTATATTTTTAATTGACTACTTCCCCCACTAGACTGTAAGCACCACGAAGGCAGTAACCATGCCAGTTTTGCACAACACTATCTACTCAGGGACTAATAAGATGCTTTCCATACAGCAGGTACTCAATAAATACTTCCTGAATGAATGAACTTCTAGAATTTGAGCAGATGTCTTATCGCCTTAATTATTCTGTTAATACCTTGTGGGTAGGGAAAGTATCTTAACTCTATACTCTGCATATGTGGCCTCACATATATAAAGCATGCATTCCATAAGTACTTGTTTACTGAATGGGAAAATAAAAACACTCTTACCTTGCCAAAGCTGCCTTTTCCAATAACTTTTAAGAAATCAAAGTCTGTTGGTTTGGCACTGAAATAAATTAACAATGACAAAAATTAGCTTCATAGAAATTAGAAAGATGTTAACTTAAATATTTCTTAGTACCTCTATTTATTATTAATATTTCATTGAGTTTTTGGTGAAAGTTTACACAGCAAATTAGGTTCCCATTTAACAATTTCTACACATATTGTTCCATGACATTGGTTACACTTTCCACAGTGTGTCAACATTCTCATTATTTCCATTAATTTTGCTTCTCCAAACCCCGACCTTCTCATCTTTGCTCCAGGGTAAATGTCGACCATTTCATTTCAAATAGATGATTGTTGCTGTTGTAGTTTAAAATAAAGAAGAATCACAGTACTCACAGGTAATATTGTTTATTTTATGAGCCAATCTGTTATTGAGTTGAAAGGTGGCTAAGGGAGCAGATTTAGTTCCAAGTTTAAAGGGTATCTCAGGGTGGTAGTCTTAGGGGTTCCCCAGGTGTCTGCTGGTCCAGTAAGTCTGGCCTTTTTTTAAGATTTTGAGTTTTGTTCTACAATTTTCTCCCATTCTATCTGACACCATCTATTGTGGTCCCAGTCGTAATGGTTGGCAGTGGTAGCCGGGCACCATCTAGTCTTGTGGTCTCTGGATAGGTGAGGCTGTGGTTCATGTTGGCAATCAGTCCTGTAGGCTGGTTTTTTCTTTAAGTCTTTGGTTTCCTTCTTTCTCTTTTGCTCCAGATGTAGAGACCAATAGTTTTATCTTAGATGGCCATTCACAAGCTTTTAAGATCCCAGATGCTACTTATAAAACTAGGCTGTAGAACATAAACTTTATAGTACATCACTGGGATAAGAAAATGTTGAATATAAAACACTTCAGCATGATGACTCTATTTTTCCCACTGGTAGTGTCTCATCTTTAATATAAAACAGGTAAAAAAGAGTAGTAATCACATATATTTTCTGATTAGATAAAACGTTTAACTTTATTATTTAAGCCTCCATAAATTCTACTTAAGAGTGACTTAAAAGAATATATATATATGTGTGTGTATACACATACTTGTGTGTATACATATGTGTACACACACACACACACACACACACACACACACACAATGGAGCCCTGGTGGCACAGTGGTTAAGAGCTTAGGCTGCTAACCAAAAAGGTCGGCATCTTGAATCCACCAGCCGCTCCTTGGAAATCCTATGGGACAGTTCTACTCTGTCCTATAGGGTCGCTAAGAGTCAGAATCGACTTGATGGCAACAGGTTAGAGTAAGGTTATACATACACATATACATATATATATATATATATATATATATGTATATATATATGAACTTCGTCTCACGTACTTTGGACATGTTCTCAGGAGACACCAGTCCCTGGAGAAGGACATCATGTTTGGTAAAGTAGACAGTCAGTGAAAAAGAGGAAGACCCTCAATGAGATAATGGATTGACAAAGTGGCTACAACAACTGGCTCAAGCATAACAAAGATTGTGAGGATGGAGCAGGACAGGACGGTATTTCGTTCTATTGCACATAGGGTTGCTGTGAGTCAGAACTGACTCGAGGGCACCTAACAACAACAACGTATTTATGTACATATATTTTAAACATAATGTCATTTCTATCTACATTATGTTAAAAAAATTTCTATCTAGGCAGCTGGGTGGTGCAAATGGTTAAGCACCATACTACTAGCTGAAAGTCTGCAACACCCAGAGTAGTTCAAACTTACTCAGAGGCGCCTCAAAAGACCCAACCAGAGGTGCCTAGGAAGAAAGGCCTGGCGATCTGCTTCTGAAGGGTCAGCGTCTTGAAAACCCTATGGAGCAGTTCTACTCTGCATACATGAGGTTGCCATGAGTCGGAATCAACTGACGGCACTAATAACAACAGTTTTTATCTAACCAATTTGATTCACTGTGACTTCACCAGTATTATTATAGAGGAAATTGACTAACTATGTAAATTAGCGATACATTCCAAGGACTACCTAAAACCAGTTGTCATCAAGCTGATTCCAACTCATATCAACCCCATGTATATGACAGTAGAACTGTACTCTCATATACATGGGGTTTTCAGTGGCTGATTTTTCAGAAGTAGATTAGCAGGTCTTTCTTCCAAGAGGCCTCTGGGTGGACTCAACCACCAACCTTTCAGTTAGCAGGTTTGCACCACCCAGGGACTCCCAAGAACTACCCAGTATCTGAAAATTATTTTGAAAAGGAAGTTACTAGCTAGAACATCTAGTAAAAGTTGCTAAGAAAAATTTCTGGTGGAGAAAAAGTCATCACTGTGCTTTGCATATATCGTACTTTTTTTTTTCACAAATGATGCACCTACGTAAATAATGCACCCACACATATAATGTGCACAGCGCACCTACGAAAATAATGCATGAGGGGGGTGCACAGTTGGCAAAAAATGTATTAACACGTGCATTATTTGTGTAAAATACAGTACATTACCTATCATATATTAAAGACAAAACACCTGGCTGCTTATTCCCATGGATGGTAATGTAGGAAAAGCCAGAAGTAGAAAAGTCAGAAGGAATACTAAGATTGTCCTTTTATTTTTATCAACCTATTAGGTAAAAACAGCATAGGCTGTATGTAGTCAAAGGTGCACAGAAGCAGAGGTTGAGCTTAAGCAGCCAGGAGAACTGTTTCCTTCAATATGATCTACATTCCTAACTTGTACTAGGAAGTGGGAAATGATTACACTTAGATTTGCAATTTCCTTCAATTCACATATTGAAAGAAATAGTCGATTCAAACATGAGAGTAATACCAGGGCGAGCTAAAGATTAGTGAGATAAACACATAACTAAACTTACATATTTTTCTTCTTCAGAAACTCACTCTTTGGACTATTTTATTCTTTAATGATATGCTGAGATACTGAAATAGCTTTTTTTTTTTTTTTAAACACACGTAACAGTGAAAAAGCATGAAGTCTCTCCAACAGCGTATACAGGCTACCTGAGGCCCTACTCTAGGCCCCGTTACCATTGGGGATAACCCTAAATGAAAGCAAACGTCTGTGCCTGTGCGGCTGGACCAACTCAATGCTATAAATGACAGAAAAGAAAGCTCAAAACCAAACTTCCCCTGCCAGTTACCATCCCATTTCTTTGCTCTCCTTTGCAGTAAAACTCCTCAATTAAGTTGTCTAAACTCACCGTCCATACCTGCTGTCCTCTTCTTTAGTTCTCTCTTGAACCCTTTCCTGTCAGGCTCTTGTACTCACTACATCACTGAAACTGCTCACAGAGGTCACCGATGACCTCTACATTATTAAATCCAGTGCTCAAGTCTCAATCCTTATCCTACTTGACCTACTGCAACCTTACCAGAGTTGATTACACACTCCTCCTTAAAACACTTCCTTTCTGACTTCAGGACACCACACTCCTAGTTTTTCTCCTCTCTTACTGACGACTCTCTCTCAGTCTCCTTCACTGGTCCCTCCCTGACCTTGTAATGTTGAAGTGTCCCTGAAGTGCCCCAGGCCCCAGTCCTCGGACCACTTCTCCTGTCTGCCTATACTCATTCTTGAAGCAGACAAAAAGGCCGATGGAAGCATGGTGTCCTGTGATAAAAGACAGAATATTTTAGAATTAATCTAACATGGCTGTCAGGACAATTACAAGTCAGGAATAGCAATACTATGCTCTTCCTCCAACCCACTGTCACCATCACTAATCAGCTGGGGCACTGCTTCAAACTGAGCCAACAAGTAGCCTTGGAGTCCTTCCTTGGAATTAGCTGCTGGAGCTGACAAGATGAAATGTACATTTGCCACTGCTGGTCTTCAGCACTTCTCAAACTGTGTTCCTCAAAATATTAAAGAAAAAGAAATTTCCACTGTGGTCAAATAACTATGGGAATATGGGAGAGACTGGTTAAACGAAGTCTGATAGCCTTTAATATGCTAATGTCCATCACGACTCCTCGGAACAAACCGGCTAAGAACTACGCTGCACCAGCAACACTGAGCACCAGGAGAATATTAATCCGGCTGCACGGATGCTTTCTTCACAGAGCACCTCACAGGACTAACGGTCCTTTGGGAAATACGGTCTGCTAACTTTTATACACACACACAACCCGAGAAAAGTGACAATAGCAAAAACACCAGAACCCAATTAACAACTTGCAGATTAAAAACTCCACAGGGCCCTACTCAAGCAATGCAAATCTAGAGGACTAGATCAGCCAAGCATAGACAGTACTATATTCACCCTAACTGCAGTTACATTTCTTAGGCTCCTAGTTAAATTGGTACAATTATGTAAATCAGCACACCCACAAAAAATATCTTCCTAACATTTAGTCAAAGGATTGTTTCAGACTAATTATACTTACTGAGGATTTCCAGTCGGTCCTAGGTTGATTTTCTGTGAGGTAGAGTGTAGCTGTTTGGATGGAAAAAAAAAAAAAAAACAATAACATTCTTATTGGAGCTTCAAAGATTATCAGTCAATGAATGTTTCTGAAATAAAGTATATTATATGTAACTGTCCATAGATACTGGGTGTATTGCTATGTTAAAGAAGCCTAAAGTCCTAACTCTTAATGAGCTTAGTCTTATTTGGAAACAATCAATATTGTTTATAATCAATATAAACACAATAATTTTATTATCATAAATTTCTACAGCAGTTTTAAGGAATAAGGTAAGCAAGAAATCAAGCTCAAAGTTGGCAAATGAATAAAGTTAATTGTGGACAGTTCCTTGGAAGAGGTGGGTATTGAAACCACAATTAAGAGCAATCATGTTTACATTTTAAAAGCTAGCTGGAAAACTATTTTTCAAATTTTCTAGTAACAGCTCATTAAAGATAGAAGATGAAGATTGCAAATGACAGATTTTCAGCTTTAATTTGATGGTTGCTGCTAGTTACCATCAAATAGATTCTGACTCACTGTGACCCCATTTTGGAAGGAGATCACCAGGCCTATCTTCTGAGCACCTCTGGGTGGGTTCAAAGCATCAATCTTTCAGCTAGTAGCCAAGTACTTAACTGTTTGCACCATCCTGGAACTACAATTTGATGGCAGGTGAACTGATATCAGTATGGATTACACCTCAATACAAAGAAAACAAAAATCCTCACAACTGGACCAATAAGCAATATCATGATAGAAGGAGAAAATAACGAAGTTGTTGAGGATTTTGTTTTGCTTGGATCTACAAGCAACATCCACGGAAGCAGCAGTCAAGAAAACAAACAACGTACTGCACTGGGCAAATCTGCTGCAAAAGACCTCTTTCAAGTGTTGAAAACCAAAGACGTCACTTTGAAGATTAAGCTGTGCCTGACACAAGCCACAGTATTTTCGATCGTCTCATATGCATACAAAAGCTGGACAATGAATAAGAAAGACCAAAGAAGAACTGATGTCTTTGAATTATGGTGCTGGCGAAGAATACTGAATATACCATGGACTGCCAGAAGAACGAACAAGTCTATCTTGGAAGAAGTATAGCCAGAGTGCTCCGTGGAAGCGAGGATGGCGAGACTTCGTCTCACATACTTTGGACAAGTTATGAGGAGGAACGAGTCTCTGGAGAAGGGCATCATGCTTGCTAAGGTAGAGGGTCAGCAAAAAAGAGGAGGACCCTCAAGGAGATGGACTGACAAAGCGGCTGCAACAATGGGCTCAAACATAGCAATGATTGTAAGGACGGCACAGGACTGGGCAGTGTTTTGTTCTGTTGTGCACAGGGTCACTGTAAGTCGGAACTGACTTGACAGCACCTAACAACAAACTTATTTCTAAAGCAAAAGCAAGAGTGTTTTTCATTCTAATTGCAGCATTATATGCTGGTTGGCAGATTTTAGATAGGCTTTTTTCTTTGCAACAGTTAATACTGTAAATACAATCCCTAGTATTAATTTAGAAGAAAATCTTTACTCACCTAGAATGCCATAAAGGAATTTAATTAATAAAAGATTCTAGCTCATTAATAATTAGCTAGAAGTTTAACTCACAATCCTAGAAGATCAATCTAGTGATCCTGTCAGAGTGTACTTTTTATAAAAACCAAATATAAATACATTCCACCTCACGTTAATTCACTCTGAAATTCTTTACCCATTCAAAGAACTGAATCAGTTAGAGATGTCTCAAATATATATACTTTTCCTATAGCCCTATATACTTACATTTTATATAAGCTATATATAAAAGCTTTAAAAATTTCTCCTGAAGTCTATCATAACCAAGAAAATTTTATGTAAGCAGTTTCTTATTGGAGACATATGGAAACATATATTTCTACTTAAATTCACTGAAATGTACAGACAATCTTTAGAATACAAGCTATTTTTAACAATAAAGGGCAAATAGTCTCATCTTTCAAAAGTTCTGAAGTGTAGTGAGTTTCCTATTACGGTTTTTAGTCACAAATTAAATTTATTTCTATCTGATATAAATACAAATCTTCACGTAATAATTTTCAATCCCAGAACCACAGTGAACCATAAGTCTAGCACAAGACAGAAAAATCTATTCAAACTCTGGTTCATTAAATGAGATTTGCTCTGTCGTGGCATAATTTCAACATACGAGTAGTCTTTTATGTTTAAATATCATAGTGTTCCACACAATCTGACAACGTAATTCAAACTAAGTTGTAATTTCAACACACTTATTCTTTTAATAAGTGTGCAGAGAACCGAATTAATTCTCCATTCATTGAATTTTTCTTATATAGATGAGAGAGGAGAATTATAAAAGCATGGATTAAACAGCAAGGGCAGCTTGCCCCTTGAATTATGTTAATATGTAATGTGGTTTTTATTATTTTTGGCAATGCTTTTCCCAATGGTGCACATTTTAGAAATAATAATGTCACTGGGATGCATCATTAGACAATTTTTCACTGTATCTACTATTTTTAAAGATTGCATCTATTCAGTAAACTGAGGGTAAGGAACAATACAATGAACACTAATGAAGATCATAAGTTTCTTGACTTCTCTTGGCCTCTATTTGTTTCGATAAACGAGGGGGTAGGTCCAGACACCCGGTAAGATATTTTCCAGCTCTGAATTTCATTTCATTACCCACTTAAAAATACTTAATAAATAGTTACAAATATAAAATTAAGTATGGTTCTTTCTGTTTTTTGAAAAAATTCTTTTCGTCAGTATTTTAAAACTGCAAGAGATCCTAGTCTACGATCCAGATTTTATGGATGAGGTGGAAAAAAAGAAACAAAACTCAGATCTAAAGCAAAAAAGGGGCAGAACAGAAGCCAGAACCAGAATCTCTCAGGTTGGTTCCTTCCTTAAAACCAGCTAGCTGTCTCCAATAGCGAGGCAAGACATTTTTTAAATGACCTACAACTACTTACTCGCACATGATTAGCAAGCAAAACATGGAAAATCATGGTTATATGATTATATTCATTATTTGTTAAAATATTCTTAAATAGTTTAATCTGTTTCGATTTAAAAAGCATATACTTATGGTCGGAAAATATTAGGAAGAATTTTTTTAAAATCCCTAATATTACCAACAAATGAATTTGCAAATATTTTACAGCAATTCCATAGATTCTTTGCATATCTTTTAAAAATTCACTGTAATTACACTGTGAATACGCATATAAAATTTTACATACTGATTTCACTTAATAGTATGTCAAAAACTTTAAATATTTTCATCTTCAAAAACACTTCAATAAATGCATACTATGTAGGGACAAACACTATCTGACTGATGAATTTTAAATTGATTCTAATTTTTCATTTTATAAATAATGCTAAAACGAGCATCTGTGTGTTTCTCCACGTGAAGAATTATTTCCTTTGCATCAATTCCTAAGGGATTCGTGAGACGTACCTTGTGTCTCACCCTTATCAACCCTTCGGTATTTTATTTCCTATCCATTTTTGCTAATTTGGGAGAGAAAAAAGAAATCTCACATTTAAAATGTTCATTTTTTGTCAGCATCGAAGTTGAACATTTTCTCATATGTTTACTAAGAGCATTTCTTCACATTCTTTTTTATCTGCTGGGGTCTTAAGTGTTACTCTTTTCAAAAATCTATTTGTATGAGCTTTTTGCAGACTTTATTCCTTCTTATGCCTCATTTGTTACAAATGTTTTCTCAGTTTGTTTCTCTTTTGATGAGCAGATATAAAATGAAAATATCCTTTTATGTTGTCCAAAGAGCAAACACGTCACAGATGCAAAGTTAAATCTGTTCTTTTAACTGAGAATTCTCCTGGGGCATTAGAGAAGGAAATCACTCCTTTACAGTTGCAAAAAACTAATAAAAATCTATTTTCCAAATGAAGATTTTATTTAAAAGAAAGTCCATGCAATATTAAGTAGCTGAAAAATGACAATTATGAATATAATGAGGGTGATTTGCTTCCATTTCTACTCTGGGACATAATACATGTTCCAATTCATAATAATATTTTTAAAAAACAGAACCATGACAAAATTAAAAGATATTATACAGATAGAAATGTACTATATCCCATTATCCCAGCACCTCTGATTTTAATGCTTACACTTAACAATAGTTAAAATCAATTATGAATTATAAAGATATATTTATTTAGCATTTGAATTATAATTTTAATTGCTACAAAATAATCCACTGAGTTAAACTATCATAATCTACCTTTTCCACATTATTTTCTAAGGTAAATGCTGAAAGTATCTTCATAATAAGACACTAGCTTATTACATTTACTTACTTGCTATTAAGGCATCACAATCTACTTTAAAAAATAAGAACATTCTATTATTTATTAGGAACACATACTGATTATGTAGGTATGCCAACAGAAGTAAAAAACACACGTGCATTGATGGCTCTATGTATCAAAACCTGACAATGCAGAAGATGTGTACAATGTTCTAGGTGACTTTTCAACTTTCCTGCTGACCAAAATTCAAAACAATAATTTCAAGTATAGTGATGATAATGAAGACTACATAATGACCAAAAAAATAATATGCAAAGTGAAGAAAGGATATGAAATTAAGATTAGATAATTTTTCAAAACATGTATCTTCAGAGAAGACTGGGAAGAAAACCACTGATGTGTTAACAATTACTAGGTCAGGGGGGTGGTAACATGGGTAATACCTTTCTTTTTACCACTATTTTCACAACTTTCTTTAATTAACATGCATTAACTTTTTATAATAAAAACATACATTCTATAAATTTCACAGGAAATAGTGACCAGTAAGAGGTGTACATATTTATTTTATGTATTCTACAGAATAGAAAATCTACTATGGATAAAATTATTTCATTTTAAGTCAATGTCCTAAAGTTGCTACTAATTTCATCCTTGGAGAATGGTATCTTTTCTGTTAAAAAATACCATCGCTTTTACTACCTTCTGAGTATTTCTTTCATCCTCATCTTCGGACGGATCTGACTGATGTTTTGGACTGTCCATTTGGAGGAATGCTCTGACATCTGGACTAACAATGAAAAATAACTTTGTTAGAACTTCAAAAGCATTTCTAAGCTTTTCTCCCTTATAAAATGAAAACCAAAATAAAAATAACTATATTAGCATTTACACAAAGAAAGCCAAAGAAAACTCATTAATATTCATTATTATAAAAGAAGTAAGCACATTCATAAAAAAGTAAAGCTAGGGAGTCAAACAAACAAATGGGCAAGGGATATGAACAGGCCATTCAAAGAAAAGGAAACCCAAATGGTAAGCAAATTTATGAATACACTTAACTTCTCTAGTAATCAGAGAAATACAAATTGAAATGAAAATGTTATACCCTTTTATGTCCATTAACTGGTAAAAATCAGAGATGGATGATACCAAAAGTTGGCAAGAATAAGAATAAAGAGATACCCTCATGTATTGCTGTTGAGGGTGTAGAAGAGGCAACTCCTCCAGAAAGCAATCTGGCAATAAGTGGCAGCATTGTGTATACATTTGCCCTAGACCCAGAAATTCCATTTCTAGGGATAAACCCTAGGAAAACTTATGTCCAAGTCCAGTGAAGGACATGTATAAGGATGGTCACTGCAGCATTCTCTACAGTAGTGAGCTGGAAGGAAACAGTCATCTATCGCTAGGGGGATGAGTAAGTAAACTATAGTCACTGCCTGTCAGAAAATACCAGTAAGTAGTCCAGAAACAATGAACTGGAGGTACATACAGCAGCATGGATAGATCTTAAAAACAGTTTTGGTGAAAAAACAGAATAAGATCTACAGCACAGTACTCTTTATGTATATATGCTAAATTTTCCAAAATTTATTCTAAAATTTCCGAAGATAAACACATATTCAAGGACATACATCAAACATATTAAAGTGGGTATCTGATAATGAACAAATAAATGGCTATGAAGATCAAAGATGAAGTAAAAAATGGACTAAAATAAAAGAGGGGTCTTGCACGGACTAACGATGATCCTGAGAATGATTCAAACTCTATGCCTGAGGTATCTCTCCCTCCAAGCTGTTCTAAATAATTAAATACAAGTAATATGCATTCATTGTAGGAGACCTGGGAAGATAAATAGGTATTTTTTTAAAAGGGGAGGGGCTAGTGGGAAAGTAAAACGGTGAGGAGGCTATGGAAAACAGTTTGTCAGTTCCTCAAAAAGTCAATTCCATCCCTAGGTACACACCAAAAAAATGAACACAGGTATCCAGACAAATACTTATACATGAATGTTCATAGCAGCACTATTCACCATAGCCAAAAAGTAGAAATAGCCCAAATGTCTATCAATTGACGAATGAAAAAATCAAATGTGGTATGTGTATATGATGGAGAATTATTCAGCCGTAAAAAGGAATGAAGTGCTGATATGTGTTACAACATGCTAAGTGAAAGACAGACGCACATATCACATGATTTCATTTATCTGAAATGTCCAGAATAGGCAAATCTATCAGAAACAGAAGGTAAATTAGTGGTTGACGTGAGATGGGGGAAAGTGGGATTGGGAGATATGGGGTTTCTTTTTGGAGTGATGGAAGTATTCTGGAATTAGATAATGATGATGATTACACAGTACTGTGAATATACCAAAAACCACTGAACTGTACACTTTAAAATGGTTAAAAAGGTGACTTTTATCCCAATAACAAAAATTTTTTAAAAGGGGGGAAGAAGGATCTTCAATTTTACCATATAGATGCAACCGTTACTAACATTTTGGAATATTTTATTTCAGTCTTTTTCTCTGCACAATTAAGATCATGATATATTTAAAATATTTCATCTTGTTGCTTTTCACTTAAAAATTATATCATAATCATTTCCTCATGTCATTAAAAACTCTTTGTAAACAATCACTTTAGATAGTATGATGCTGTGTAATATGGATATATTAAAGTTACTCAGTGATTCCTCCACTTTAGTATATATAGATTTCTTCCAACTTTTCACCATACAACTTTCACTACTATAAATAATGATGCAATTTACATTCTTGTGATTAATACCACAAGTGCATTTATTATTTTCAAGACAGATTTTTAAAAATAAGATTGTTTGGTCTCAAGTATGAGCCATTTAAGGCTGTATACATTATCTGGTTTCAAGTATGAACACATTTTGTTAAGCTGATTTCCAGAGAGGTTGTACCAATTTATACTCGCCTAGCAGTATATGAACATACTGAAGATTCTCTCCAGCCTTGGTTAACAATGTTGTTGTTAGGTACCAATGAGTCAGTTCCGACTCATAGCGACCCTACGTACAATGAAACAAAACACAGCCTGGCCCTGCACCATCCTCACAATTGTTGCAATGTTTGAGCCCATTGTTGCAGCCACTGTGTCAATCTATCTCATTGAGGCTCTTGCTCTTTTTTGCTGACCCTCCACTTTAACAAGCATGATATCCTTCTCCAGGGACTGGTCTCTCCTGACAACATGTCCAAAGTATGTGAGATGAAGTCTTGTCATCCTCGCTTCTAAGGAGCATTCTGGGTGTACTTATCTCAAGACAGATTTGTTAGTTCTTTTGGCAGTCCATGGTATAGACAATATTCTTCGCCAACACCATAATTCAAAGGCATCAATTCTTCTTCAGTCTTCCTTATTCATTGTTCAGCTTTCACATGCATATGAGGCGATTGAAAACACCATGACTTGGGTCAGGGACATCTTAATTCTGAAAGTGACATCTTCGCCTTTTAACACTTTAAAGAGGTCTTTTGCAGCAGATTTGCCCAATGCAATGCATCTTTTGATTTCTTGACTGTTACTTCCATGTTCATTGATTGCGGATCCAAATAAAATGAAATCCTTGACAACTTCAATCTTTTCTCTGTTTATCATGATGCCGCTTACTGGTCCAGTTGTGAGAATTTTTGTTTCCCTTATGCTGAGGTGTAACCCATACTGAAGGCTATGGTCTTCGATCTTCATCAGTAAGTGCTTCAAGTCCTTTTTGCTTTCAGCAAGCAAGGCTGTGTCATCTGCATAACACAGGTTATTAATGAGTCTTCCTCCAATCCTGATGCCCCGTTCTTTATATAATCCAGCTTCTCGGATTATTTGCTCAGCATACAGACTGAATAAATATGGTGAAAGGATACAACCCTGACGCACACCTTTCCTGACTTTAAACCACACAGTATCCACTTGTTCTGTTCGAACGACTGCCTCTTGATCTATGTACAGGTTCCTCATAACCACAATTAGGTGTTCTGGAATACCATTCTTCACAGTGTTATCCATAATTTGTTATGATTCATGCAGTCAAATGCCTTTGCATAGTCAATAAAACACAGGTAAACATCTTTCTGGTATTCTCTGCTTTCAGCCAAGATCCATCTGACATCAGCAACGATATCCCCTGTTCCACATCCTCTTCTGAATTCGGCTTGAATTTCTGGCAGTTCCCTGTCAATGTACTGCTGCAACTGCTTTTGATGATGATTTTCAGCAAAATTTTACTTGCGTGTGATATTAATGATATTGTTAGATAATTTTCACATTCAGTTGGATCACCTTTCTTTGGAATAGGCATAATTATGGATCTCTTCCAGTTGATTCGCCAGGTAGCTGTTTTCCATATTTCTTGGCATAGATGAGTGAGCACTTCTAGCACTGCATTGTTTGCTGAAACATCTCAATTAGCATTCTGTCAATTCCTGGAGCCTTGTTTTTTGCTAGTGTCTACAGTGAAGCTTGGACTTTTTCCTTCAATACCATTGGTTCTTGATCATATGCTACCTCCTGAAATGAATGAATGTCGACCAGTTCTTTTTGGTACAGTGACTCTGTGTATTCCTTTCATCTTCTTTTGATGCTTCATGCTTCGTTCAGTATTTTGCCCATGGAATCCTTCACTACTGCAACTCGATGCTTGAATTTTTTCTTCAGTTCTTTCAGCTTGAGAAATGCCAAGCGTATTTTCCCTTTTGGTTTTCTAACTCCAGTTCTTTGCACATGTGATTATAATACTTTACTTTGTCTTCTCCAGACGCCCTTTGAAATCTTCTGTTCAGCTCTTTGACTTCACCATTTCTTCTGTTAGTTTTAGCTACTCTACGTTCAAGAGCAAGTTTCAGAGTCTCTTCTGACATCTATTTTGGTCTTTTCTTTCTTTCACAATAAGTGTTACAATTTATATTACATCTCTGATAATTTGTTAAGTGGAGTACAGTATTATAAAGAAACTTTCTTTATATTTTCATTCTCAGTATTTTGGAGTTCAAAAGTTGTTATTAATCAAATTTATTACTGTTTTACTCTGTGATAAATCATCACTGCTAATACACTTAGAAAACCCTTTCTCATACAGAGGTTGGATAAATCCTAACATATTTTATTCCCATTTTAAATTATTTTTTAATTCAATTTTAATAAAGTCATTTAAAAATTAGCTTTACCGGAGTAAAGTGACTTTCAAGGTGCATTTCCCTAACAGTAATAATAGGCGCACAGTAGGTGTTCAAGACACACTTGCTGACTGGCTCCTCTTCCTTCTCTTAAATCTGTACTATTATATCAACAATCTGATGTTCATATGAGAAGCAGGAAAATTAACAAAGTTCTGTTAGCAACAGATGTGACCCAGAAAATATGAAAGATGACTTTTTATAAAAATAAAATGTCAGTTAAAAATTAGGTTTAAAAAAATATTGACTAATTTTTTTTTGGGTGTTGGAAATGTTTTTTGGAATGGTAGTAGTTACAGGGTACCTATGTATGTAAAAATTCATTGATTTGTATATTTAAGAATTATGAACTTTATAGCATACTGTTTTAAAAACTGACAACTTAAATAATCAAGCTGCTTTGAAAATTTAAAAACAAAATATAAGATCTTTATAATACTACACTTCTAGATCCAGAATGAATATTGAATATTTAACAAAGTGTTACTGAGTAACACTGTTCAAAATACCAGTAGCAGTAACAACTGCCACCATTTATTGTATACTTATTCCATGTCTGTCAAAGGAAGAGACAAATTCCAGCTCTGAATGTATGAATCCCATTTCAAACAAGCCAGTAATATGCCAATTCAAATTAACTGCAAGTGCATATAACAGTAACTAGAGGGCAGAAGGGTGGAGCTATGAGGATGCATGCCATGAAGATAGCACAGAACCTGCCCCAGGGGAAAGGCATAATATTTAAAACATCATAATAATAAATTTAGTATTTACTTACAAAAAGACTCAAATCATAAAAGGCCTTTTGCTGAGGAACAGGCCAAACCCGGGAGCTTGAGCTCAAGAAGCCTCCCAAATTTTATGTCCCTCTGCCACCTGCTGGAGGCTCTGAGTGGGAAGATGCCTGTTCTACTGCACTGACTAATCCCAGTGCTAACCCAGGTGCTGGGCCTCTCCCTGGCCCTGTCCTACCCAGGAGCATCCTGGGAAACCCTCAGCTCTCGGCAGAAGGCCTTGGTGAGAGGAGGTGTAGTTCTAGCGTTTACCTCTGTGACCTGAATGAGGTCATTCAGTCAGCCAACGTGTTGAACATCTGATACAGGCCAAGAACTGTAGACACCTTTATGCTTTACCTTATCTAATTATTGTAAACTGGGCAATAAATACAATTAACTAATTTTATAGTTTAAAAAAAAAATGAGGTTCAGTAAAGTCCATTTGTCTTAGGTCACAGATCTAGTAAATTAACAAAGCAGAAGCCCTCTTTAAACTGCGACCAAAACAAAACAAAAAAACGGTTGCCACTGAGTCGGAACGGACCAACGATTTTTTGTTTGTTTTCTTTTCGGTGACCCCAGGTGTCAATACAATTACAAACAATTATAAATTACAACTACAAATAGTAATCATTTTTAGAATAAATGCTCCAAAACTTAGTCCTTCCGTGTTGTGATTCTGAAAAGACTGTTGAAGTCCATCATGTTCACATCAGTGCCCATAAGGAATCCTTTACTTTTACAAATAGACAGGTGAGCTCAGGAAAACTGACCAGACATTTTAGTTTTACTTTATCCTCTATCTCTCTTTAGAATACTTCATATGTATATGCAACATACATGTAAATTAAAAATCACAATATAATAAATATCCATGAACCAATGATCAAACTCAAAAGTTAAAACATTACCCAAACCATGGATCTATGTGTTCCTAGGTATTTCTTACATGAATCAATTTTCTTCCCCTCACTGGGGGCTGGTGGTCTACAGAATAAAGTTTAAACTCATTAACAGAGGACACACACGGGGAAGGGAAAGCACCTTCATCTTAAGGGGTTACCTGGAATGCTGTGTTGAGAAGGACGGGGAGATCTTGCCTGGGCCAACATAAGAGAACAGCGCCCCAGGTGGAACAAGAAGTGGTGGCATGTGTGCCCGACCCCTGCTAACTTCTTCAACCTCATCACCTTTCCAAAAATCTACCCCTACTCTTGGTTTCAGTCACCACAGAATGTTACCACAGGTAAGCCCCGACCTACGACTGGGTTCTATTCCAGTGATTCCACAGTAAGTAGGTTCTGACACATGTCAAACACCTCATTTAAAAAAATTTTTCATTATTATCGCCTTTTATCATCAGTATCTTTATAAATCCAATCTTTATTTGTCTTTGGGGGTTAGAAACATTACATATGGACTTACAGGCATATTTTAACACTGTATGTAGTACATATTACTAATGATAAGATGTAAAACAAAAAAATAGATGGCCTTAAGTGTGGTTCGTTGTAACTCGAATATGTCCTAAGTCAGGGACTACCTGTACTTAATGTCCTGAACATTTCAGGCTTTATGTAACCTCTGTTACATGAACCATGGCCTTTGCCTGGAATGCTCTCTCTACCTTTGTGTCTTGAACGACACATCCTTTAAGTCCCAAGAAACCTTCCTTGACCTCCCCAAGAAGCGCTGGCCGTGCTGTTCTCTGTTATCCTCCAGCAGCTCTATTGTAAGACTTCAAAACAAAACCAAAAACCAGTGCCATCAAGTCAGTCCTCACTTATGACGACCCCATGTGTGTCACAGTAGAACTGTGCTCCACAGCGTTTTAAATGGCTGATTTTTAAAAAGTAGGTCACCAGCCTTTCTTCCCAGGCACTTCTGGGTGGGTTTGGACCTCCAACCTTTCAGTTAGCAACTGAGCGCATCAACCCATTTGCACCACCTCGGGACCCAGCTTCAGCTATGCATTTCTGTGTCTGTCTCTCCTAGACTCGCAGCACAGGCGCCTGGAAGGTAGGTACAGGGCTCATTTATCTTTGTAATCACAAAGCACACAACAGGAACTTAATAAACACTTTTGAATGCATGGATAAATATAATATGAAATAATTAGCAAAGAGTTTTAGTATGCAAATTTATTTCATGTTTCATCTACAAAACGAATGCAAGTACAAAAGGAAGAAAAAATATAACTATAGCCTTGAGTTGGTGGAGAAAAAAAGGAGATGATGAATATCAGAGGAAAATGCTAGAGGGAGACTTTACAAACATATTTAGCACATAGTATTGCACAGATATTATCAGTATCTTCATCGAGATTCTGAAGTTTGGTTTTAGTGCTTCTTTAGAAACACAATGAAAATGACTTACTGGTTGTAAAGCTCTGGGTACCTCACTAAGTTCTGAATGAATTCATTCAGTCCTGCTCTTCTCTGTTTAATAAAATCTGTTAAGAAAGACAAACTATTAGGATTATTTATGGTAAACAATGTAATTATCATCAATGCAGTTATATTAGACAGCATAAGACAGTGAATTCTGATTAAGAAGCTATTTTTTAATTCATGTTTCTTGGTTTACAGGGGGGAATAAATACTTAGAGATGTATTTTTTTTAAACTATAAATACGATTAAAAACTAAAGTAGACTACATATCACTGAAAAGGAAATTCTACAAAACGCCTATTTTAGGTTCTAAATAGACTCATCACAAAATCTGGAGAGGCACTTTGCTTTGCCCAACTCCTCATGCACTACCAGGCAATGAATAAAAATTAACACTATGCAATTAAATCATACGAATAAGATACAATTATTGGTGTCTACCTGTCCGGAGCAAAGAAGAATGAAGAAAATCAAAGCCTCAAGGAAACAATTAGTCCAAAGGACTAATGGACCACAGAAACCACAGCCTCCACTAACCTGAGACCAGAAGAACTAGATGGTGCCTGGCTACCACTACCGACTGCTCTGATCAGGATCACAAGAGACAGTCCTGGACATGGCGGGACAAAAATATAGAACAAAACTCAAATTCATAAAAGAGACCAGACTTACTGGTCCGATAGAAACCGGTGGAACCCTCGAGACTATAGCCCCCTTAGACACCCTTCAAACCTGGAACTAAACCCACTCCCGGAAATCACCTTTCAGCCAAACAACAGACAGGCCTGTAAAGTGAACAATAACACCCGTGAGAAATGTGCTCCTCAGAACAGTCAACCACGCTAGACTTAAAGGGCAGCATTTGCCCAAAAACAAAGATCAGATGGCAGGAAGGGGCAGGAAAGATGGGCAAATGGAAATGAGGAACCCAGGGAGGAAGTGGGTAGAGTGTTGTCACATTGAGGGGATCGCATAAGAGTTCCCATCTCCCCGCAGCCCCTCCAACATTTGTTATTTCCCAGTGTTTTTGATTCGTGCCAGTAATGCCGGGGTGAGATGGTATCTCATTGTGGTTCTAATTTGCATTTCTCTAATGGCTAGTGATCACGAGCATTTCCTCATGTGTCTGTTGGCCATTTGAATGTCTTCTTTGGTGAAGTGTCTGTTCATTTCCTTTGCCCATTTTTTAATAGGATTGTTTGTCTG